TTTTTTTTGCAAAATCTCTTGAGAAATTTAAAAGTAAATTTGAACCAAAATATAAAAAGGTTTTATTTGGGAAGAACATTCTTTAGAATTACATTTTTAAATCGCAAGATTGTATTCAAACTAAGAAAATGAAAAAACAACAACATTGCGCGTGGTTTTTATTATAAAAAAAGAACAATTACCATGAAGTCTTCTTTAATACTTTATATCAGAGACATAACTATTATAAGAGAAAAGAATAAAATTCAATCAATAATCATTACATTAAGATAAATATTTCTCAAAATAAGTCTCAAAATAAAAGTCTTTGAAGACCTAAAAATATTTATCTCGCTGATAATTATTTTGAAAACACTTCTTAATAACTTATATAACTTAACTTCTATAATATAAGTCTTAAAATAATAGTTATCGATGACTTAAAACAATTTCTCACACATAATTATTATCAAAAGACTTTTATAATTCTTACGAAAATTTTGATGACTTTTTTTAAAACTCCACCATGAAATAATTATTATTCTGGGTATCTGCTTTATATTTTTATACATTTTTAATAAAAATAGTGCGAGCTACGTAAGTAAAAAAAGTACTAAGCACTGATAATGGATTTTTATTTGAAATATTATTACATTGGTATAAATATGGGAAGGAAAATACTCCGATTTATTGTTTTAATATTATCAAAGTGGCAAGGCCGTTAATAATACTCACAATTTATGAAACTTCAAAAAATTTTATTATCCGTCAAAAGTTGTTAATTGAAACTACCTTCATGTTTGTATCATGGTTTATATCATTTAAATACTGCATGTGCCGGCATTTGAACCTGCGACACTCGGAATTATTGTCCACATCTCTAGCTACTCAAATTCATTATTTGTTCTGGAAATACATACAGTATTGGACATATCTATAGCACCCCCTTTCAAAGCCATATTGTTTGCCATTTATGTTTAATTATTTGTTTTCTAAAAAATCAACAAAAATTTTTAGCCACTTGAAACTTGCACATTATTAGACTAAATTTATTGGGCTATAAAACAGTGTATTTAGAAAAATTCTACCGCTAATGAGAAAAAAGTTTGAAATTTGGGTGAAAATTTGTTGCACTTTTTTGCGGTCTTTTAAAAAGTTTTAAACTTGAGTTTATATGAGTTCTGTGAGAGAATGAACTGTCTTTAATTAATAATAGATCGGCGCTTACACATATGTTAGTGTTTGGCCGAGCTTCTCCTCCGATTTGTGGCGTGCGCCTTGGGAAGGGACCTACAGTTTTACGCCCACTCCGAACGACGATTGTATTTTTCATGGCAGAAATACGCTCGGAGGTTTGCCATTGTCTGCCGAGGGACGTCCGCTGTTGAGAAAAACCCTTTTTTCTATATTTTTGTTCGATGTTGCTTTGACCAGGGTTTGAACCCAGGCTAGGCGGAGTGGAAGCGCGCAGTGCTTACCATTACACCACAGCGGCCGATTGTATTTTAATTGAATATTTTTTAAGAATAAATAAATAAACATGAGTGGCAAACAATATCACTTTGAAATGGGGGTGCTATTGTATTGGTCAATACTGTATGTATGAAATGCGAAGCCAAATCATGCATTTCCCCATACAAATTCGCATTTCTCCATACAAATTCGCATTTCCAAATTGACTCATTTAAACAAACTTTCGAAGCAAAATGCGTTCCAATTGCTGTACTATTTTATTGAACACACTCAAAAACAAAAACTCCTGAAAGGTTGTTCGTTTTTTAAATTTGGAATTTTTAAAAATCAAAACAAACAATGAAATATCTGATGTTTGGGTATACAAATTGTTAATTTATAAATAAGTTTGCACATCTAGTCTTATAAAAGAATACTTTCTTTGTAACCAAAACGTGTTAAAAATATAAGGCATGCAGTGTTTACCTTCATTTTGTATCTGTTTCCCCTTTTGAATTGATGAGTCAAAGGAAATGCGAATCTAGCAGTGTAAACACCTTCAAATGACTGATTGCTACTCACTCATTTGCGGCCAAAGTAAACGTCAGGTGTTGTACGTAGTGACAGCTCGTTTCGACGGCTCCCTTAAGGCTCTGTTATGCATACTTGGCAGAGCTTCGCGTGTAAGCGGTTACCCAACGCACAGCATTACATACGTAAAAGTCTGTTGGTTTTTAATTTCTACGTAAAAATGGTATAGCAGTGCATGCAATGCCAAGTATGCATAACAGAGCCTTTACAAAAGGTTGTAATATGGAAGCACCAGAGAAACGGGAAGAAAAAAAGTCCGCTTTGCGAAATAGTACTAAATTTAGTACTCTTTTTGATATGAAATTGTGCATACAAATAGTTACAAACGGTATATTATGATAAGCTAAATTTGCGGAAATTGTATATATTACGTAGTACTTGTGCATTAAATGGTAATTTAGTTACAATGGCCTATAATTATAGTCAAAGTAAAGAAGATAAATTGCAGTTTTTTGACATAATTCTCAAAACCGCTTTAGGGTATACTTTTTAACTAAAAAAACTATAAGATGATTGTTATATCTTACAAAAGTTTCGCCATAAAAAAATTCGTGATGTCCCCGAATCGTTACAACATGACGGAATCGACAAAAGGGCGCATCTACGGGTGAAAAGAATATTTCATCGAACAAAATACCAACTAAAGATGTGGAGCTTGTATCGCAATGCAAGTTGCATCCGTTCTGGACTGAGATGCCAGACATATGGTTTCTACAAATTGAGGCCACCTTTCAGTCGTTCAAGATCACATCTTCGGTCGGGAAATATAATCTGGTCCTCTCAGCAATTAACAGCGTTGCTTTAAAGGAAGTTGCGGATGTTTCAAGAGCCGTACCAGCTCAAGACCGATATATTAACCTCAAAACTCAACTACTGTCACGTTCTACTGATTAAGCCGACCCACATAGGGGTATTTAGCCGGCCAAAATTATTTTTATTAATACTTCAACTGGAAATAATAGAAAATACGTGTTTTAACATTTGGAATTAAAATGTTTAAAATCAAGTAAATAGAAGGGGAGGACGTCACATTATTACACCAAAAAAGAAAATAAGGTCATGATTTATTTTGGAACGAATTTCCGTCATCCCTTGTCAAGTTTGTCAAAATAAATCATCTTACCACCCTGTCGGAAAAATCAACCAACACCAACACAAAAATAAAGTCACTTAATGTTTGACATCGATAGACTCCATGTTTCCGTGGTCCGATTGTAGGAGCATGCATATTTACGTGTTCGTCTCGGCGAGGAAAAGGTTTATATCTAGGTTGAAACATTAACAGAGTTGCCAGCTGTTAAAAAATTTAGTTCTATTAAGTTAAATGCATTGCTGCATTATGGGAATCAATGTAAATGGCAGGGAATTAGATAATTCAAATATGTATCACAGTATAGGTAAAAAATTTAATAAAACTACACATTTGTTCTTCTTCAATGCTGGTCGTCTTGCCGTGGCGAAGGGGCTTAAATGACGACATGGAAATTCCCCAAAGGGAGCTTCCAGATCGTGAAGAACTAAGAGGAAAGCTTCATATCCTTTGCAATCGTGAGGGAAGCTAACAAACCAAAATGGTATGTGAGCAAACTTTCCGGTTGGAGCCGCACCAGCAACACCCTAAGCCAAGGTGTTGAGGTACCCGTGCCGATGTCTGAATGGTCAGCGGGTGTATATTGAATAGCCGGCCGCGAACGATCCCCTCCGATGCCCGGGCAAGGTCGGAGGTATAAGTGCCTTCTCTACGTATGCCGGCTCTGCGGACGAGTGACGAACCTTTTCCGTGCATACTCGGGGGGCCAAATATGAATGACAATAAACAAAAACAACAAACTGAAACCGAAAGAAAACTGATGACGAACACTGCAACGAACACTGGACAATCGACTTTGGCACTTCCCTATCGGATCCCGGGCCCCGTTGTTACGGAGTCCGATGAGGACACCCTTCTTGCCTCCATCAAGTGTTCTTGGTTGTACCAACCATAGTACACCAGAAGCACAAGCAGCAAATCATACCACATCTAACGATGCCAAGCCAGGCATCCCTACCAGCCACGACCTTCCGTCTTCCTCCAAAGCTGCCGGCAGTACCAACCACAGTACAACGACGGCGGGAACAGGGCGGAAAAAGAAACATAAAAAGTCCCAGAACCAAATCAGAAAGAGACGCTACCAGAGGGCGGTCTACATGCTAGATAAAATATCTAGCAATTTGGCTCCAAGCGGCTCCTATCAGTTGAAGGCGGTCGAATACTATAAAAAGGTGGTTGAGGAATATGAGAGCTCCTTAAAAGAGAAGCAATCTGCAAACCCCAATCCACCTGAAATAAAGCAAAAGAGCGAATGTCAAAAGATAAATCCTTCCACTAACGACAGCACTACCGGCAGAGAGAGCAAGAAGCCTAAACAGGCTTCTTCATCTGACCACAACCCGCTGCAACGCCACTTTAGTGACGTTGCCAAAGACAGTCTGTTGATGGCCATAGTCGACGAAAACTCGAAGACTCCGGTATCTATGCAGAAGCACTGGGTGGAGATCGACGTCAAGCTATCAAGTCTCGTTATGGACTACGTCCTCGATAGCCAGGCGGGTCCCCATCCGGAGTTTGATTCCTCTGGATCCTTTCGAGGATACAGGGTTATCAGATGCGCGGACTAGGCTTCTTTGGACTTCTTAGCTGGGCTGATTCCAGCTAAGGACGTTCCTCAGAGGCCACGTGCACGTATCTGGTTTTCCCCCATGGAGGACCCAGGCGAGAAACT